GTTTAGGGTTTAGGGCTTAGGGTCTAGGGCTTTAGGGTTTAGGGTTTAGGGTGTAGGGCTTTAGGGCTTAGGGTTTAGGGTTCAGGGTTTAGGCTCATGATTTTGGGGGGCTTAATAAGCTCGCCTTTGCCCGCTTGCTGCGTGCTTAAGCGGCATCAGACGTCTGCACACCACGACGCAACACTACCACTAGACAGGAAAGCGCTAAACCACAACGGCTGCACACAACGAGCTCAACTAAAACTATCGTGAAGAATCGCTGAGAATTCCAGGAGCCCGTTATAATCCCTAAGCCGTGAACCCTACACAACCCCAGCACTGACAGCTAACACCCCTACACTCTGAATCACAAACCCTTAAGCCCAAACCCTAAACCCTAAACTCAAAACCTTAAATTGTAAAAAAAAACCTTAAAACCCCGAGCCGAAACCCTAAACCCCAAACCCGAACCTAAACCGCAAAACCCTAAAGCCCAAACCCTGCGGCACGGCTTTTCAAGGAAGCAGCGGCCAATGAGGGGTTGCTGAGCTTTGAGCAACAGAGGGGCCGATAGTCTCCCTGTTTAGGGTCGACGGTTTAGGGTTTTTAAAGTTTAGGGTTTAGGGCTTTTAGGGTTTAGGGTGTTTAGGGTTTAGGGTTTTTAGGGTTTAGGGTTTTTAGGGTTTGGGGTTTTTAGGGTTTAGGGTGTTTAGGGTTTAGGGCTTTTAGGGTGTAGGGTTTTTAGGGTTTAGGGTTTAGGGTCAAGGGTTTAGGGTTTAGGGGCTTTGAGTTTGGTGTGTATAGGGTCTCTTGGGGTTCCGGGCTACTGGTTTAGCGGGTCTGGGGTCTCCGGCTTTGCTTTGCAGCTGCGAGGAGTGGGCCTCCCATGGCTTTGGGGTTAAAGGAAAGTTACAGGTGGGGAGTTTCGGGTTTTTGGGCTTTAGGGTCTTAGGGTTTAGGGGTTTAGGGTCTTAGGGGTTTAGGGGTTTAGGGTTTAGGGTTTGTAGAGCTTCTACTCGGCTTCTATATGGTATTATGGACCTTCCATAAGGCTCCTATAACATTAGCTACCCACCTTAAAATGTCCTCGATTTAGGCTGCAGCATCCACGGGCTCGGGCTTTAACGGTTTAGGGCCTAGACTTTGTAGACTCATGGCTGGGTCCGTGGAAATTCATGGCTAGACTTCTTACACGGCTTAGGGCACGCATCTCAAAAGTCGGAGATTTGGGCTGCAAGCACTACATGACTCCTCTGGACTCTTTAGGGTTCGGCTTAACTTACTTCCCCAACAAGCCAGGGAAATAAAAAGATTAAACTTTCAGAATATATTACTAAGTTATAAGAACCCCAAAAGTTTGAAGGTTGGATATTGGGGAATTAGGTTTAACTACTGAGCCTCAAATCCTCAACTCACCCACCGAGGTAGGATTCAGGATAGCCGTCGTCCGCAGGCCAGCGACCTCAGATTGGAGAGCTGCAATTTTGTCGGGTTTGGGGTTTAGGGCCTATAGGGCTTTAGGGTTTGGAGTTTAGGGTTTAAGGGTTCAGGGTTGGTTTAGGGTTTAGGGCCACTTTAGGAGTTTAGGCTTTAGGGTTTACGTTACATGGGCCTTCGTATGTGCAATAGGGGTCCTCTCAGGCTTCCATTAAAGTGCTCTGTATGCGGTAGGCTGGTCGGCTGGGGTCGGGTTTCAATGGAGTTCCCAAGGCTTTATAGGTTGAAATAGGGCTTTGTATGTGGTTCCTGTGTCTATATTACGGGTTTTAAGGTGTAGGGGGGTTTTAAGTTTTAGGATTCCATGGCTCTAAGGGCTTCGCGGCTTTGTGCCGGGAAAGCCCGGTGTCTGACTGCCACTGGCACTGCTTGGCACGATGCGATTTTTAGTCTTGTTCTGGGCATCGTGCAAGAGCCGCATTGCGAGCTCCGGTTGAGCCGCACAATTCCAGATCCCGCGGCAGCACTTGCTGTCGGCCTTCTTGTGCATGTGCATCTCGGGCATATAATGAACAGAACTTCTGGTTCCAGAACGCCCGCATCTAGCATCAGGGCTCTGACAAGAAAGCTTGTCCGCCACCACATCCAGGCGCAGACCAGCAGAGGACGCATGAGGTTCCTGGGTTGTGCGACGAAGTCCCTCTTCGTCATGGCTCCAAGACTTGCGAAAACACGGTTCTCTTGGCCAAAGGAAATTCCGCTACTTCAGAATGTAACAAGAAGCCAAATCCTGAACTAATTCTACAACCCCTACACCCCAAATCCAATGAAACACACTAAACCCTCTCCCTGGCTCTCCACTGAAGCACATGGCAAACAAAAAACGACAACCCACGAACGTCAAAGTCAAGAAAACCGGCTGTAAAATCCTACAGCCCAAAACCCTCAAGTCCTAAAGAACCTGTAAGGAGGAATGCCGTAGAAAAGGGAGACGGGAAAAACACACATGAAGGTTCAAGCCTAAGTCCCTAAAGCTGCAAACCCCAAGCCATCCACTCCAAAGAAACACATTCACTTTAACTACCCTTAAGGGTTTAGGGTTTAGGGTGAAACCCCACAAAGAGACTAAACCTGAAAGAGCCGGTTTTTAATTTAAAGGGCTCTTACAGAGCCTCTAAACCCTAAACCCTAAACCTTAAAGAGCCCTTAACGAGCCCTCAAAGAGCCTAAAACCTCAAAAATCCGGTTTTTTAGTTTAGTAATAATAGTGATAATTATTAGAAATAGAAATATTAATTAGTTAATAATAATAATATTATTATTATAGTAGTAACAGAAGAAATAAAGGGCCCTTAAAGAGCCTCTAAACCCAAAGCCCTAAACCTTAAAGAGCCCTTAGAGAGCTCTTGCAGAGCCCTTAAAGAGCCCTGAGAGAGCCCCTAAAGGGCCTCTAAACCCTAAACCCTAATCCCTAAACCCTAAACCTATAAAGGAGCCCTTAAAAAGCCTAAAAACCCTAAGAGAGCCCTTACAGCAGCCGGAGCGCAGGGCCGCGGATCTCCGGCGCTGGCGAGCAGCCGACAGGCGGGGCAATGCGGCGACTGCCGCGGGAGCTCCGCCACCTGGGGTAGGGCTTCGGGTTTAGGGCTTAGGGTTTAGGGTTTATATAGGACTTAGGGTTTGGGGTTTCGGGTTTAGGGTTTAGGGTTTCGGCTTAGGGTTTATTAATATAGGGTGTAGGGTTTCGGGTTTAGGGTTTGGGGCTTATATAGGGTTTAGGGTTTTTGGTTTAGGATTTGGGGCTTAGGGTTTCGGGTGTGGGATTTAGGGTTTGGGGTTTAGGGTTCGGGGTTTGGGGTTCACGGGGACCGCGAACAACCTACCTTTTGCCGGACATATGTACTGAAATCATAGTCAGGATCCCTACGAAGGTGGGTTTTAGAGGTTTAGGATTTAGGGATTAGGGTGTGCTGGGGGGGTTTGCGGTTTCGGGCTTTAGGGGTTGGGGTTGAGGGTGCAATGAGTGAATTAGGGCTTGAGGGCTTCTCCTAAGTTAGGGTCGAGGTATCTAAGCCCTAAGCCCTTAACGTAACCCTAACCCCGAGCCTCCAAAGAAATCCTCGAAAGGAACCCCCCAAAGCCTCACCGCCCGGAGTCTTGTAGGGAGTGCTTGGGGCCTCTGGGCCTCAGAAAACTCGAGTTTGGAGCCTCTCAGAAGAGAGTTTACCTGGACCCCAAAGAACCTACGTTTTTAGGGCTCCTTATAACATGATTTCTTTATATAAGTCCTTAAACATGTAGGTTATTTGGGGTTAAGGTAGCGTTTACCTATAGTCTCCATTGCAGTTCCGTCTTTTCGTTGAGCCAACTGTAGGTCTAGGGTCCCAAAAGGTAGCCACAAAAAGGAAGCTACGAGTTTCAGCTTTGGGAATACACGGGGTGTAGACTGCGTTTAAGGTTTTGGGATGTTTTGGGGTTTAGGGGTCGGGGCCGCGGGATTCGCGAGGTTCGGGCCTCTTGGGAACCTTTTAGCGAGATTTCGGGTGGTACGTAGGGGGATTTTTTAAGCCTTGAGCCCTAAACCCTAAACCTAGGGGAATATTATGCCCTAAACGCGAAACCCTAAACCTCGGGGATTTTTAAAGCCCTGAACCCTAAACCCAGGTCCTAGGAGGGTACCTTGGGGTTTCAGCCTGAGCTTAACAGTTCGAGGCCTGGGGATGGTCTATATAGGATTTAGGGGTACGGGGGGTTAGGGTTTAGGGGTTTAGGGGTTTAGGGGTTTAGGGTTTAGGAGTTAGGGGTAAGGGGGTTTTAGCTTTAGGACTTCTTTTCAAAGACTTTTAGGCCTTGCTTTCGAGTGTAGGTCTTGGGAATGCTTTGCTGAGTTCGAAATCGGAGGGTCTCTTGGCTGAGGTTCCTGGAAGCTCAAAGCTTACCTAAACCCTAAGCCCTAAACGCCAAAAACCCAGTAAGCCCTATAAACCCTAAACCCTAAACCCTCTAAACCCTCTAAACCCTAAACCCTAAGCCCGGCCCTGGTGTCCCAGCACACCAACCCAGCGTAGTGCCCCAAGCCTCGCACCCTGCACGGACCTGAGGGGACCCTGACCTCCTTTCTGTATCTAAACATCCTATAGAAAGCCCTATAAACCTCTATAGAAAGCCATAAAAACCCAAAAAGAAAGCCCTATAAAACCCCAAAAAGAAACCCCCCTTGACAAGCCTAACTTCGCGGTGCAGGTGTTTTACATTTTGCCTCAGAGAGAGCTGCGACATGTTTTGCAGGCTCGCGAGCAGCGTGTAGGATGATCGGACTGCTGCAGCTGGCCAACCGGCCCTTCAGGGCCGCCGACCACCAGGGCCGAACTTCTTAAACTCTGAAACTCTGGAAAATTTGAATTCTGAATAGATCGGTGCCCTGAGCCCTCAGTTCTTCGCTGACCTCGGCTCAGAGTTCTCCGCAGACCAATCAACACAAACACACGAAAACAGCCGAGGCACGCGCTTCATTTCAGGGAAGGGGTGGCAGCCCGCACTCCGTCGCCACTTTCCGAGCCTGCAGCGGATCACGCACACGGCGCTCTCTTTCTCTGCTCTCGAGGGCCCCCGGCCTCGGCCACGGAGACCTCGCGCTCCATTTTGCCGTCCATAAAGAGCCCGGCCGCCGTGCGGTCCGCGCTGAGCTGCACCGAGCGGCCCTTGCGCTTGTCCTTGTCGTAGAAGCCGACCTCCACGTAGCCGTTCTTATACGTGTAAGTTCCCTTGCCGTGCCTCAGACCATCCTTCCACTCCCCCTCGTAGACTTGGCCCTCTGGCCACGTGCACCGCGCTCGGCCCTGGAGCTCGCCCTTGTCGTCGACGGGCAGCTCGCGGTCGCCCTCCAAGGGCTCGAACCACTCTGACACCATCTCCACCTCGTCTTTGATGCCCTCCTCTTCCCACTGCTTTTTGGCCCTCTCCACTGCTCGGGCCAGATATTCCTCCGCCTTGGTGCCGCCTCCTCGAATTTCGGTGATCGGAAAGGCATGAAGGCCCATGCGGGGGATGTGCCATTGCGTGCCCATGTCCTCCTCCGCGATCTGCATGTTGGACTTCTCCCGGGCCTGGCCCTGCTGAATTTGGAGGACGAAGCCCCTCTTCTCGCGCTGGATCCTGGTTAAGTTTTCGCAGAAGGTGCGGAGCCGGTCATCGGCCTCGTCCCCGTAGAGCTCCTTGCTGGTGAGGTTGAGAGGGGAAGAGAGAGGGAGAGAGAGGGAGGGCTACAACGAAGCCCACTGAACCCCTTTCAACCCAGCATGCTCAAACACGGGAAGGCCCTGGCAGCAATGGAGTCTCTAAACTCTTTGAGCCTTTCCTTTCTGCCAGGGGCACCCCGAGCGCGCCTTGTTGTCGGTGTTGGGATTGTAGACAGTGCATCCCAGTTCCTCGAGGATCTCTTTGACGCCGACGGAGATGCTGTACCAGGGTTCTCCGAACTTCGTTGAGAGGACCACGTGCGGGGCGTCCGGGCCTCTCTCGGGCAGTCTCTTTTTGGCAGGCCAAGTGGTTGGCCGACTGCATGGCGGGGGAGGGGGGGTCAGGGGGTGGGGGGGGGAGGGAGGGGGGGAGGGAAGGGGGGAGGGAGGGGGGGAGGAGGGAGGGGGGGAGGGAGGGGGGGGCGGAGGGGGCAGCATCTGGTGATCTTTCGAGCCTCGCCCTCGAAAAGTGTCCATACGATAGGGCTTGCGGGTCTGGGGTTGAGGGTTTAGGATTTAGGGTCTAGTCGACGATGATGATGATGGTGATGATGATGATGATGAGGAAACCCCCGGGTAGTTATTTAGGCCCCTAAATTTGTTGGGGGGGGAGCTCCAGGCTTCAAGGATTGCTTACATTGCCCCAAAGGACCAAATCGTCCCTTAAAGTAGGGGGCCCTATACCCTTATACTATGAACCCCTATTATGGTATATGAACCTTCAACTTAAGCCCTTTTAGGGATCATTTTCGTCTTTAAGGTGCCCGTTTTATGACCCGGCTCTGAACTTGCCAAGGGCAGCTAAGAGGCAACCCTCACCCTGGCCACAACTAGAGGTTGTGTGGTTGGCCATTCACCTTACAAGAACCCTTAAAACGACCGTGCAGCCTAACCCTTAAACCCAAAGACTCCCTTCTTGTTGCTGAGTGCATAGGCATAAAACAGTGTACACTTTCAGTTCCATAAGGGATCATATTATCCCCAAGACGTTTAAAGCGTAATGAGTCAGCTACAAAGCCTTGTCTAGGTTCTCCAGGAACCCCTTAAAAATAAGGGTACCCTTTTTCCTACTCTTTGGTTTTAATAAGGAGACCCCAAACCAAAAAGGGCAAAAGGGTACTACTGGGGAACCTACCTTTTTAAGGACTTATATATAGGAACCATAATAAGGAAACCTAAAAAAGGTAGGTTCTTCGGGGTCCAGGTAAACCCTAAAGACTCCCTTATAGGACTCCGAACTACGAGTAGGCGGCCTTGAAACCGAAGCTTGCAGAACCCGGGATCCCCCTGGGCTCTGCCTCATGGTAGGGCGTGTGGTAGCGACAGGAGGGCTTGTGCCACCTGTCTACATTGTTTGATTTTTGGTTTGAGCCCCTTTTTCCCGATTGGGTTTAGGGCTTAGGGTTTTGGGCTTGATCTTCTGACTTCTGAAGATGGACCATCTGCACACACAACTCACAGCCGCACTTCAAGCAGGAATCTGGAACCCATGAGCCCGTTTGTGTAGGGTTCAGGGTTCCTAGAGCGTGAAGGTGGAAACGTTCGGGGTTGGATTTTATGTAAGAAGAGGGTTTGGGGGCCCATTATACTGCAATTGTAGTAAGGACTAGTATTGGTAAGTACTTAGGCCCCTACATTATGTCTTAGGATCGGGGTCGTAGTGTCAAGAGTTGTGGGTTTAGAGCTCAAGGTCTAAGGTTTGCGGCTTAGGCTGTCAGGTTTTGGGTCCAAGGTTTAAGTTTTAGGGCTTAGGGTCTATAGGGTTTGCGGTTCAAAATTTAAGGTTTAGGTTTCAATTCTTTAGGCTTAGGGTTTGGGTTCTAAGGCTGCGGGTGGGGGGTCTTGGATCTAGAGGGTTCGCCGGGCAGTGTTAACTTTCCAATTCTTACAAGCATGAGCAGCATCTGCCAATGCTTCTGGACAAGAATTCCTAAAGGGATGCACCAAAGCGGGGCAAGAGCTTGTGTCAGAAGCGCTTCTCTGTGTTTGTGGTTAAGGGCTTTGGGGGGTGCGCGGTTTAGGTGTGGGCCATTGAGAGTGACACAAGCATAGCAACCAATGCCTATGTAGATCCCAGTGAAGAGCAGCAGAATCCGAAACACCAAGTGATGGTAAAAGGAGCTATGCCTAACCCTGCCCATCCTCATTTATGCTGGCTTCCGGGCACCTGCCTAAGCAGGACCCTAGGTCCCAATATAGGGATTCCTCCACACTGACCCTAAGCCCGGGTAAGGTACTGCTGCCGATATGACTGTGCTAGTCCCGTGAGCCATCTCAAAGGCTAATCACTCAGCCGAAAGGCCACACAAATCCTCTAAAGACTCGGATGTGCCTGAACAGTTTTGTATGCAACTGCTTAGCTTAAGCTTCCATGATTAGGCATCACGTCTTCCGAGTTCGGGGCCTCGAGAGCAAAAAAAAATCGGAAAGATTTATGTTGCAAGCTGTCTGTCCTCGGACTCCTGGCTTTGAAGCCCTCGCTGTTCATTAATATCACGGTTGTTTTCAGAATTGATATGGTTGTTGATATGATTATTGTTATTATCATTAGTGTTTGTTAAATTATTGTTCTAGTGTAACTGTTCTTACTGTCATTATGTTGTATTTGATTGTAATTGGTGTTATTATTGTCGCTATTGTTATTCTGGTTATTACTCTTAGTCTGGTTCCTATGACATCCTCATCTGTCTTCTTCTTACTTGTACCATTAGTAAGTTTTGAGAACCCCTGAAACGAGTTCTCACTACAAATCACTTCTCAAGTAAAATCTCAAACCCCGTCCTATCCCTCAAGTAAACCCTAAACCCCAAAGCCTAAAAAACAAACCCTGACCGGTACACTAGTAAACCCTAAATCCCTAAATCCTATACGCCTTAGACCTTCCATGCGAATCATTGGAGCCTTAGCGCTATGAGCCCAAAACTGGCCCCCTGGGATTCCAGGACCTGTTGTCGTGGGCCAGGGGAACACGCCGATCAACGCCGCAATCCCAGCAAAACTCGAAACCGCACTCGCAGGTCACATGGTCGCACTCCTGTATCAGCGGGGGGTCTGAACAAGAAGGCATGTGGAAATATGTTTGGATATATCCTGCTTTGAAGCTAACCACCACTTGTAGTATGAACACCCCAAAGAAGCCTTGCCCTGATCGGCCCTGGCTTCACTACTCAGACCGACATGGTCGGCGCTTTTGCATGTGGGTACGAGAGGTTGGGATTTGGGGATTTGGGCTTACAGACGTGGTATCGGTTTGGGTTTGGACTCAAGGTGTGGGTGCCGGGTTCGGGGTTCCGGGCTTATGGTGTAGTTTGAGGTACTGCTCTTTCGACGAAGGCAACAGTCGTGATGGCTACAAGCCACTGACCTGGTATCTTGGCATCGTAACAGGACACCTGCGACCCAGGATCTGCTAAAGTTCCCTGACTGCAACATAGAACTCAAGCACCCGGAAACCACACTTGTTAGCTTGTCCTGCTTATCCACTTTGGATCTCTGCCACAAGGACATGCATAACCTGCCAACCCCCAGGGAAAATCAATGTACATATAGATTGAATTTCGAACTGCCTCCCCCCGCAACACAAAGCTTTAACGCCCTCGAAACCTTAAGCCCTCTAGATCCTAAGCCCTGAACCCTAAAAGGCCAAAGACTCTGACCGCGGAGTTCGACATCCTCAAGGCCTGCCGCCCTTTAGCTACCCTCGGCGCGTTCCCGCTGAGGGTCGTGCTCAGAACCTTCTTATAACTGTTGGATTTTAGGGTTTTGGGTGTAGGCTTTGAAATGGCTTAGGGTTTAGGGTTTCGCGGTTGGGGGTTTCTAGGTTTCAGGTTTTGGGGTTTTGGGCTTAGGGTCTTGGGGTTTTGGGGCTCAAGGTTTCGGGATTTGGGGTGGCCCGTCCTCTTGAGATTTGTAGCCACCGCCATATTTACCTCGGCAAAGAAGAAAGGAAGCAGTAAAGGTAGTAAAGGCAGTTCTAAAGAGGGAAACTCTGTCATGTCGCACGAGTATATAACAAAAATACATACAATCATCCCTAAACCCTCAACCCTAAACCCCTAGGCCCTAAAACCCTACACCCCAAACTAAATACAATCATAGTACCCTTGTAGAACCCTAAGACCTAAACCCTAAACCCTAAATAAGGAACCTTAGAGTACCCATCAGCTTTAGAGCTTGCGAAGGCCAGAGTTCCTTCCAACGGGCCCACAGTCTTGGAGCGCATACGGGGGGGGCCCACTGGATAGGCTTTAGCATACTGCAGCATCGTAAGGGCAACCACTCGGGGTTTTGGGTTTAGGGCTTAGGGTTTAGGTATGTCAGCGAGACTTTATGAAGTTCACTGCTGATCATTTAAAGCTCGCTTTGGCCCTCTGAAAGCCCAACCATAACTTGAACACCCATGAAGGAACGCTGAGGAGTCATGCTGCTTGCTTCCAAACCACCTTTACTAAATCCGCAACCCAAACCCCTGAAAGCGGCCAAGCAACATCTCTGTGGGCACGGCTTCCAACCCAGTCTCAGTGCCTCTGTGCGAACTCCACTTTAGACTGCGGCATGTACATGTGTATATGCATGCAAACGCAGATGAATAGACGTGTTAGCTAACTGCACTTTTAAGCCAATTTACAAGCCCAATAACACCCTGTGAGGTTGTGGCTGGGCCCTAACCTAAACCCTTAATTAAACCCTAAACCTTAAACCCTAAACCCCAACCTTAAATGTAATCCCCAAGCCTTCATACCCGGATTCACATAAGCCCCGAAGCCAAGGCCGGCAGTTTACGGGGTTTGCGGGTGTTCCATGCCCCCGAGACGCCTATGTATTCCGGAGAAGTAAGCAAAGGAGGATAGGCAGATAAGCCCTGAACCCAAAGCCCTAAACCCTAAACCTCAAAACACTCGAAGCCCGAAGCCCTAAACCTCAAACCCCAAACCCCGCTAACAAAATGTCGCTAGACTCTAGAGCTTTATAGTTTGGACTATGGGGAACTAAGAGAAGAAGATGTCAAAATGCCTACACCAGGGGTTCTCCCACTGAACCGCCCCCCAAAAAGAACAAACC